AACCCCAAACATTCTGTGATTCTGTGAAAATACTCAGTACTTTTCACAAGCAGTTATTGTTCATTAGAGGCAATACACATGTATTTTTTTTTTTGTATGTTGCGTTACATTCACTACAAACACAAATCTCTTGGTATTTTCTTTTCAGAAGAACTGTTATTGAAGACCACTCCATTAGAATATAATAGTAACAACAAATAACAATAAATAAATAATGATAGATACCTGCTGCTTCAGCTGAGCTTCCTGCTGCTTCATCTGTTCACATTTGTGCCTGGACTCAGTAGCTTCTTTTAGCAGCTAAAAACAATGTGAAAAGCCACATAGTAAAAAAGTATTCCTATGAATGGACTTAACTTGATCTATGATAAAAATGAGCAACCTTAAAATCACCTAAGGGCCATCCAACTATAATTTCTCACATGAACATTTTTATTACTATATCACACTTTCAAATACATGATTTAAAGCATGTGCTGGCTTGTAGAAACTTACTGAGACATTTTTCTAATTGTTAGCATGAGTCACTGTTTCTATTTCTGTAGCAAGTTTGAACTGCTAAATTTATTATGAGCAGTTCATTAACAAACTGTACATAATTTACAACCGTTTTGTAACCTCTTTATTTTCCACCTCCATTTCTCCAGTCACCAACATTGCCTTTAGAGATTAGTTCAATTTTCCTTCACCTTGACACCATTTTGTAGGTTCATCAGCTTATTATTCCAAAATTATGATTTAAAAATATAGAAAAATCACTGGATGATTATACAGGTAATGCATGGCTTTTGCCTAGAAGTTACAAATACATAAGGAGCATAAAAAAGAAGAATCTCCACCTAACTATTTTATTTTAATTGGAAGTAAGCTTCTTGGAAGACTGCAAGTAAATTGCTAATTATCAATATATAAATAAAATGTCAGGCATAGTTTTGGGGACAGATAGTTCAGAAGAATGCATGCTTTATTCTGTGTTTGTTGTTTCTTATAGCATAAAACCAGAAGTTGTAACTCTTGACTGCAAAAAAGTACCTTGGTGTTTCAGCTCAAGACACTTCCCAGTCTAAGAAAAATCTAAATAATATCCAGCATATTTGCTGAGGAAATGCCGACCTTATAATGCTTGCCAATAAGGACATAATATTTTAGGCATCATATGTACACAAAACTTAAATCTCAGTCTCACTGTTGAAGACAGTCTCCTCAATTTGCTTTAAATCATGAAAAATCTGTTTTGGTCAGTTGTTATTTCTCTTAACATACATAGAATTCACTTACAAACTCCCTTTCCCGCTGATGTTTTTCCTCTGCTTCTTTAATAAGTTGGGTAGTTTGCTGAAGTTTGGCATCCACAAGTTGCTGCTGCAGTTCTTTATGTTTAAACACTTTATCAATATGCTAAAGGAAGAAAGAAAATCATATTAGTCAAATATAAACAGTCCACTGCTCAATTAAGGTTAAGTGTACATGTATGGGGAGATGGCATATTGCTTTGCAAGTTTTGTGCAAAATAAAGCAGTAAGACTGATATACATGCCTTTTTTCCCCTCTGTCTCCATATCTTATAATTACATTTTGCTGTTCACAGAAGCCAGATGCCTATTTTATTAAATTGGTACAATACTGTAAGTCATTTTGCACCAGGTATTTCAAAAATACCGTAGTGAAATAGTCCAAATCCTTTCTTCTAAAGTTGGTGTACAAACCTCTAATCCTTATTGTACTTTGTTACTTCTAAAAGCCCCAGTTCTCATATTAAAAAAGCTCAAAACCAGCAGACTTTGCAAAAACTGTTTATTTAGCTGATGAAATTCCACAACTCATTGAATTTCACAGTCTTACTTCCATCTGGAGAGTAGCACAAGGCAGCTTCCTAATTTTTCTTGTAGAGATACAAAGATTCCATGATTAGAAAAGGTGGGCAATGAATCTATGGAGAGCATTCTAACTGATAAATAATATCCCAAATCAAGTGTACCAGCTATGAACTAGCAAACTAATCTAAGCTGTAGAACTCCTTGAAGCTTAGCACTCTTTGACAAGGAGACCTGGCGGTTTTCCAGACTGAGCAGCTCACATACTGGTGCCAACTAAAGCTAGCTCCGTTAGCCCTATAATACAGTCATTTCCATGACACCAGTCCAAATATATTCTTAAAGCCTGTTAGCTTACTTTGATTCTATGCCAACACGAAGAGCTACATACACAAATGAGCTTCCAAAAAACCCCCAAACCTTAATGAACCAAAACAAATAAGACAGAGAGTAACTCTTATATCCCCTTCCAGTATAACATGAAATTATAGTTGAGAAGAACTTCAAATATTAATACATATGTTGGCAATAAACTTTGGACACCATTCAGTCCCCTCAAATCAGGGTCAGCTTCAGAGTCTGATCAGGTTGCTCACACCTTGTCCAGTCAAATTCTGAATACCTCTAAAGACAAAGATTCTACATTCTCTGGACAACTAATTTCTATATGACTGCTTCACTGTGAAAGCTTTTTTTTTTTTTTCCCCAATGCATCTTGAATTTGGAGAGGCAAAGCTATACAGGAAAGGCAGATAGCGGGCCAAACAGCCACTTAATTTTTCACAGTAGTGAAGAATAATTTTAAACATATACATACACCACCCTTCCTCCCCAAGGCTGTAAAGTATTAGCATTTCTTCTCCCCTTTAAATAATTATCTGATCTTTACAGTCAAGGCACCAACAGAATCCCATCAGAAGCATGATGTAAGCACCTCTTCCCGCAATGCGTACTGCTCAATGAGTTTCTTCAGTTTTTCCCCCAGTTCAATATTTTCCTGACGGAGTTTGGCATTATGTATATCATGCTGTTCCAGTTGAGCCTGAATTTCATTCAGCGTAATCTGGAAGTGTGCAGTTGCTTCTTTCCGTCTTTCTTCTTCTTCACGTGCTTGGTGCATGTTTTCTTCCTTTTATGAGAAAACATTACTGCGTCAAGCCAAACCATACAATTTTTCCAAATTTTTGAGTCAGAAACAATTAGATTAATTCACTTCTACACAGTTTCAAGTTCTAGAGAGCTAATCTAAGCCACAAACATAACATGTTGTGCTGGTAACTCATATGAACTGCATGGAACAAAGAATCTAGAAATTCCAGAGGTTTTTGAGAATCTTATCCTTACCACTACCAACATTACTCAGAGGCTGGTTTATAAGACGCTGCTTGAATACCTCTACAAGCGTAATAATTACTCAGATGTTATAAAAAGCATTGATACTATCACGAAATTTCCAACAGTGATTCTTATTTGTAATCTCTTGTCTCTCTTCCATTTCACTCCCATCCATTATATTCTGACAGAATTAAGCGGGTTTTTTGATACCCTGCCATTTCACGCTGTTATTTCACTTGTGCTATTTTTTCCAGCAGTCATCAGCACCGCGCCCAGAGTCAAATATGGCAAGATCACATACTGCAAGTAATATGAAACGTTTGGGGGGGTAAGGAAAAAAAATAATAAAAAAGAAAATGGGGATAGTTCAAGTCCTTATCTTAAAATCAAGTACACTGATGCCCTGTGCCACTCATCTTCTGCAGGTACAGGCAATGGGCAAAGTGGTAAGTAAAAAGCAGCTGTCCTGATTTTAAGCAGCTAATCAGTAAGGAAGATTTCCACCACCACCAGCACTGTAATTTATGTAAATAAACTAACCTTCAAAGTCTTGTTATGACGCTGAAGCTCCCGACATAAGGATTCCAGTTTGCTACGTGCCAAAATGGCCTTGCTATGCTCACTCTGCAGGTGGACTTTCTCCTTCACAACTTGCGCTTGCTTCTTCTGCAGTATCTTCATCTGCTTTTGAACGTTCCGGCTCTCCTCCAACTGATGTTAGAGAGTATATTTATTAAATAAACATAGTTTACCTATCTTTATGCAGCTAGATGAGCAGACTGAACAAACTTCTAAACATTTCAGATGAATGCAAGGAAGTCAAATAATTTCAATACGACCCCCACATTGATCTTAAAGAGAAACTCCCATCACCCTACAGACCATTCTAAATACGTTAAAGGACAGGAGATGGAAATATACAAGTTCCAGCTTAACCAACATGTGCCTTGGAAGAACAGGGACCACGGACCTGTTCACCATGGGCTATCAGCCTGCATTCAGCTACAGGGGCAGGACTAACCCTGAGAAAGAAGGATGTAGCAGATACAATTAAAAGCCAACTGAGACTGGCTTTTTCAACAAGTCAAACTCTCTTATCTGTAAGGTACACATGGCTGTTTATCCAGCAGGTCTTGTTTTTATTATCAAAAAGAAAAAAAGAAAAAAAACCCAGAACTGCGTATACTGTTCTTCCTTGTCAGCAGAAGCTCCTGCCAAATGAAGCAGTAATTGATAAAAGTTTGTAAAACACTACGGTATTTCAGAGAGGAACAGATCCAACTAGCAGCCCCAACAAATCAAGTCCAATACTAATAAAATTGCACAGCTCAGACTTTGATGACTTAAGAGATCTGTAGTCTCAACCATCTGAAGCAAAATTTTTGTTCTATTTCCTTTGGGTTGTTTAGATGGTAGATGACACCGTTAAACTTTGTATACTGTGCTGACCCCAAAATCTCTTCTATAACTATCCACTGAATACAAGTTTCTAGCATTAGTATCTAGCTGAGAATAAGTTATATGATTTTTGGGCTCCCCGAGAAACCGTATTATTTAGAGTCTTGTTCTACTGTAAAGAAGGCAACAACGTTGAGTGTAATGCTGCCCCTCACCAGATAGTGCCTCAGCCTTGGGACACCACAGCAGAAGGTGGCTGGTAACAAGGAACATCACCATGACAGAAGAATGATTTAATGCTGTTTTTTTGAAAGAGAGCTCATAATAACGCAAAAGCACAAAACGAAGAACCAAGTTAAGGACCTCCATGACAACAATAAATTAAATGTACATTTAATCTAGTTTAGAGAAAACAAATATTAAGGGAACATTTTGATATCCAAACATAAAAAGCCCTTTTCTTGGGCAGCCAGAAAAAACACTTCAACAGCTGTGCTGTTTGCATACCTATGAAACTTCAGGCCTGTAAGAGTATGTCAGCATGAGACACATCACCAAGGATGCAAACCTTTCTGCAGCACAAATTGATCTCCTGATAGATTCCAAATTAAGGGGAAAAAAATTGTGGAAGATCTTTTGCCAGGAGAGAGGCATTCCTACCTTTATTGTACAGTCCTTTTCATGAGACACCACTGAAAAACCTGACAGTGAGCTTTAAACATGATGAATCTTTAAAAGAAGAAAAAAAGCATTGTAGGTGCACTGTTGTAAACAGTTCAAACCTCTGTTGGCATTAAAGCCGACACCTATGCCAGTGGTTCACCATCACTATCAACAAAGAAAAGAATTAATCTTAAAAGGAGCACAACCAGATCCAACCTAAAGTTTCTAAGGGGAACAGATTACCTCTAAGGTCTTTCAGCTAAAACGGAGGTACTGTTACATCTGGACAAGCTCCCACCCAACTTTCCAGCAGTTCCGAGTATCATACGGAAAGTAACTGGTTTCCCAGCGTGGCAGCTATCTACAGACTGAGAAAGTTTACCTACAGACCACGGATCTTGTCCTGGGAGGGAAAAAAATCCACGATAACGTGAACACATCTCTCCTGACTGCCAGGATTCTTGAAGGGAATTACAGTTTATTTGGTCTAGCTGTTCCCTAATTGTTTTGAGATCTTTCCTTCACACAAGAAAACTCAAAGTGAAGACAGTGCAGACTGTTTTCCTTCTGAAGATGCTAGGAATTTGGGCCAACCTAGTTCCCCATGCAGGCCATCATGATCACCACTATGATCTGACATGGGAGCTGTTCACTCACATAGAAAAGGCATCACATGCACAAGCAATTGCTCGTAAGAACTAACTCATTTACTGTGTTTCTCTCTCAGAACACTAAACCTCAATTTTAGGTGGGCTTCCCATCCTTGCATTGCACTATGGAATTATTATTGCTTCTCACAAAAGCGTCCACCAATAGGACAAGGGGAAACAGATTTAAGTTAAAGGAAAATAGATTCAGACTGGATCTTAGGAAAAAAATCTTCAGTATGGGGGCAACAAGGCTCTGGAATCAATTGTCCAGAGAAGCTGTGGATGCCCCCTCCCTCGAGGTGTTCAAGTCAGGTTGGATGAGGCCTTGAGCAATCTGGTCTAGTTGAGAGGCGTCCCTGCCCATGGCAGGGGGGTTGGGTTAGATGATCTCTAAGGTCCCTTCCAGCCTAGGCCATTCTACAATTCATTTAAATGAAAGTGACTTCTCGTAGAGAAACTACTGGTTTTGGAGGAAATTCACTCATGTGGACAAGAGTGTGCATGTGAGAGAGAGCACGGTGAATAAAAACTTAACAGACCTCCAAGGAGGACTCATGATTTGCTAAACAGACTTGACCTAAGTCTGTTCTTCAGTAATTAGTATTGTCTTGTTGAGTCAAAAGACTACTTGCTAGCTCATCCCCAAAGCTCTGGAGACTTTACTAACCTCAGAGAAATACATTTATTTCACAGGAGTTATGCCATGTTGTGCAGCCATTACATAATTTTCAGAAACATTTTCAATATAATACACTTGACATCGATAGAAGGAAACCAAATAGCTTGACAAAAGCTTAAGGTTTGTCTCTTTAGTTTTGTATTCATTTTGTAACTACAAATACAGTGGGAAAACACATACACACAATATTTCCAGTCTTCCATCTGTCCTTGGCTCAAGAGGAACAAGTAAAGCATTTTTGTCTCCAGGCACATTCTGAAAAGTGAACTTAGGAGCCCTTCCCCTTCCCCAACTCTGCTATCAATTTATTTAGAGAACAAATTACAATTTTTCCTACTTGGAATGGGAATGCACTTTATGGTCAATTTCTGCTAACATTGTGCCTTTTGGTTTGTTACTGAAGAAATATATACTTTTCTATCCATTCCTTATCATGGTGAAAAAACACAGTGCAAAATCAAACCTAGATCCTTCCAATTTCTCCTACCCCCTAAAATCACTAAAGATTTAAGAATAACTGAGATTTTTTCCAAATCTTGATATCACAATATGTCCTTTTTCGTTATCCTAAAGGGTATAAATTGTAAAATGCTAACACAAAAGCATTATGAACAGACAAAAACTAAGAAAATAGTTATTCCCAAAAGAAACTCTCAGCTTTTGTTAATCCTAATGTTATGCTTCAACACTGAGTTATCAAAAAGTTATCATAACCTATTTTTTCTTTGGATTTAGGCAGTCACGCAGAAGTGAAATGACTACATGTGAGTATTGCTTCAGCCAAACTCACAATAAGCTTAAGCCTTTTTGTGGTTTTTATTTTCCTACCAACACTGTAAATAAAATATTCAAAACCATTGACTGTCTTATATTACAATACTAAATTGTGGAATGCAAGAACTTAACACATGAATAACTCCTGCTATCTTTACAAATTACTTACCAGATCAGCATACTTCTTGCACAAAGCTGCCAGCTTTTCTTCAGGAGTAGAAAGTGTATTCAAGGCTTGCATTAATAATAGCACTTCTTTTCCTATGAATTGGATGAAAGACAATTACATTGAGGAAAAAAAACATACCAGAAAAGCAGCCTGTTTTAAGAAGTAAAATATAGAACCACAAGAAATTAGTGCAAGTTAAGTTGTTCTCTGGTTTGATCCTAACAGGTGACAAATGGGAAATCATCACAGTAAGGGTAAATTTGGCTTACTTACGAGCCATTACACAACATGGGCAGCAGAAGTTACTTTAATCATAAAAATATTTGGTTTATAATTTATAATAACACAAGTAAAAAGAAAAATCTTAAAGAATAAAATTTAAAAGGTTAAGTTTCGCTAATTAAAGATGTTCACATAAGTGTTTTTAATAAGCCTTTGAATTTAAATATCACCAGTGCTACGGTAGCATTGAACACTGCTATCTCAAATTTAAAAGTTAATCCAACAACTGGAAAGTTAAAAAAAAAGCTGATTAGTAGTTACCACATTATTATTATTATTATTAAAGTTCCTGTAAAAATAACATTACCATTTGAAGGATTCTTACATATGCATTAAGAACTGTCCTTTCCTAAGCAGAAGTGCACATGTTCTCAGAAAGTCCTGTTAAAGATGACAAGTTTTGGCTACAGGGTGAACTTGAGACAAAGACAGAGCAACTGCGTAGCTATTTTATGAAAATAATAAAGCCATATAAAAAAAAAATCAGCGAAAACCAAAATGTCAAAAGGAACACACCCAAAGTTTTCTCTTTGTGTTTTTTGCTCTCTGGATCCTGTTGGCCATCAGGTGGATCAGTACGGGCTTCTTCTCTCCCAGGAGTCTCCTCACGGGACTCTTGGGAGCAGCACATGGACCCCGGGTGCTTCCCGGTCTTCGCGATGCACTCGGCTTCCTCCAAGGCGCCCGTGTTTTCCAGGCCGTAACAGTTGGACTGCGCGTGCTGCAGCGCCGCGTCAGACAACTCGTTGCACTTGCTGTTCACCAGCTGATCCTGGCTATTCACTCCCATCTCCTGAGATCCAGCTTCTTCCATTGCACCACTGACCAACTTTAGAAGAGAAGGGAAGAAGTGGAAGTAGGCGGTCAAGCAACCGTATTGAAAATGAACACTTCTACCTTTCTTTCGTGTGGACAACAGCAACATTTCACCGTCATTCAAGCTGATACTCCCTGGAGTTGACATGCACAAAGATCGGCCTAAAGGGCAATGAAGAAAACACAACAGCCCAAAATATTAATTGCTCTACTACGAAACAACTTCGATACCTGGCCAGCGCAAAAATGTCTACACTTTAGAAATTACAAATTCACACAGAAATGCGTTCTTAAACCTCCAGAACTAATTCACTATCACCTCAGCTGTTAAGACACAATCTAAAAGCACTTCTCCCTTGTAGTTCTTAACGTATCTCACAAATCAACACTAAATACATTAAATCCAAAACTCAGCAAGAGTTCAACTAGCGTTATGTATTGTTTGTTGAAAGTAAGGTACAGAAATTGAGACAGGAGGCCAGTCGTATTAACAACTGTATTGCATATTAGTTTCAGAAAACTGGAAGACAGAGGTTTTCAAATAATACAAGACACATTCTACAGGAAGGGGAGGGGGGGCAGAAATTAACCTGCTAGGAAATCTACAGAAATTAACAAAAATACCTTATGTATGTTATGGAAACATTGTAAGAGTTTAAAGTACTTGAATCAGAATACCAAATATGACTGTCAGCTCATGACTGGAGAAAATCTGTTGTCATTATAAGTAGACAATATAAACAGGACCAGGGGCGTATTCATCTTTGAAGTGTTAAAATCCACATCTGTGAAGTCATCCAGAAAAGCCAGTGTTAACTGGCTTCAGATTTGGTGTCTTACTACCTATGATTTCTAGGCAGTGCGATACATTATTCTGACCGAACTAAATAGAACTTTCTCAGAATTATTTCTTAAATCCCCAAACGTTTAATCATTTAGCCAAAAAGTTAAAACACCAGCAGCTGTTTTAAAACTGCAGTGATGTGTCTGTATGTTGGAGTCGAACACCTGATGGTACCGCTCTAAAGCTAACATTAAGCAGCCAGCACACTCCTCTCTCAGGCACCAAAACAACATTGTCAATTTATACAAACATCCAAGGATGTTTGTTTGGGTAGGTTTTTTGTTTGATTTTGTTACAGTATGGAGGTTGGAAGTCAGGATATGAGTTTTTTTCTTGCTGTCCACCTGCAACTCTACTACCACATCATGCATACACAGCTAATGTTACAGTAAAGCAGAGTTGAACTCACTTTACTGCCAAAGTAAAATGATCCTTCTCACTGATTTATTTGCAGTGAATTGAAGGCAAATTTCTTTAAAGTCATAAGAAATTATAAACACAGGGCTTGTTTATATGCAGAGTTATGTTGTTTAAGCACAAATTATCTTCAGATTATCTTCTATTTTAATACTAAAAATGTGCTAATTCTTAAAGTCAGGAGTTTGCACTGGCTTTTACATTCTGCACAGATGGTTCGTATTCCTCTTCAGAAGGAATTAGCCAACATCAAAGGAACACAGCCAACACTAATAATATATTGCGAGACATATTTCATCTCCCCATTTGTTCAGCATGCTTGGAAGAGTTATTTAAAAAACATTAAACAAATATGCATTAATATTGTAAAAAACGCAACAGCTTAGTTGTTCTGTATACTGAAAGCAAGTCCCTTGCTTTAGACCTTATCTCAAAGTCAGATTTGTTCTTGAGCACATTAAATTCATACAGTACTTTTTAACTGCAAATGGTATAGACATTAAGGAGCAACTTCTGACTTATCAAGGAAGATTCACCTTACGCTGCTCTCTACAAGTGTGGAAATGATGCACGTGCTTTATGGACAAATATAAACAAACCACAGTTTTATCACTCTCCAATCATGTCAGGCATCATAGTTGATAAATGCCTGCATGTAATGCAGTAATAGTACTGCTGTAACAAATAACTACCTATGACATTAAACAGTTGACTTCTTAGAGCTGTAAAATGTGTATTTTTTTCCTTAGACTGTCTTAAACTGTGGAGCTTCCAGTAGTATATAAGAAAGTCTTACCCCTTGAACTTTAGGGTCTGCTAAACGAGATGCTTCTTAAAAAAAGGACAAGAGATGTGAAAATGGCAGAACTCATTTAATAGTTTTGTAGGTACCAATGGCTGAATCCACAACACAGATCTTTAAAAACCATGATTCATAGAGAAGCTGAAGACATTGTGTCACATTACATTGACACAACAGGAAAGACCAGAGGTACCTGAACACAAGATACCAGACCAGAACCGCAGCACCAACACAACAGCTGAAACCTGCAGTTTTTCATCACATAGAACGTGAACTTCTGATTCAGATACTTGTGCCTAAGAAGCCTGGCAAAAGGTAGAGAAAGTCTGCTCTAAATTCTAAGTTTCTGGTTTGACACAGTACTTTTCACACTTTCCAAAATCTACGAGCAGACTCAAAGCGTTCTTTTGGAAAGCAGAGCACAAATTCACCAGAACTCCAAGAGGCAGCAGAGGAGGCCTCGTTGGCTGCAGCAGTAGTTACACATTGAACAGCAGCAGCGCCCAAACAGTTTTTTCTGTCGCTCTGTTCCCCTTTTTCACACCCGCCTCTGTCGTGCTAGCAACAATGTTCGTGCAGCTTGCTCTAACACAGTTTACAGCCAGATCAGTACTTCAACCCAGGTCACCGCACAGCAACAGGCAATCCTGCCAACCAGAAGTGCTAGCACGATGGTTGGAAAGAAGTCAAAGAGTCACTAAAAAAAACCCCACAAACAAGTCAATCTAATCACAGCCAGAGCACAAAGAACTAAACAAAAAAACCTCTCATCCTCACCACAGGTACATAGTTAACACAGGCTACTGAGGTGCTGGAACAGCATCAGAAGACTATGCTCGTAAGAAGCACAGCTTCAAATTCAGACAATCTGGAAATTTTCACTGGTTTTCATCTGAGAAAGTTATGCTGTTTGAGGAGGGGAAAAAAAAAAAAGAACAACTACTGCCAGAGGCATACATGTGGCCAGTAAGCGGCAAAATGCAGACCTCTACCAGCAAACCATCATGGTAACTTAAGCACCTGTCAGTCTAGAGCTGGCAATTACCACGCATGTTCCAAAGCATCTGGAAGTTTCACAGAGTGAACATCACCACCTCATTAATTCAGGAGAGCTTTTTGTAGAACTCAAATTAGGTGTCAAACCAATTCTTCACTGACAATAATTTCTCAACTCTGAGTGTTCTTTACCCTTTGTAAAAAACCTACAAGGATTTTCAGATCTTCAGACTTATTCTCTGAAGTCTACCACAGAAAGTAGAAATAGCCTAGGAGAACGCTGAAGAAAAATGTTTCTGTGCAAGTGCCTTGTACATCACAAATATACTGGAAATTAAAAGTGATAGTGAAAAAACTACAGAACTTGTCAACTTTCTTTTGGTTTTCCAACATGGAACAAATCCAAGCTTACTGACAAGCAAGCCTGCTCTCTGCAAAACCAAAGCTCAGTAGGGCAGTGGACAGTTTTTGTAATAACATCTAATTTTCTTAGCTTAAACACAATTAAAAATGGTGACCACGGGCTATAACACTGTATTTAAAGAAACCGTTCTACCAAGAGCTAGTACAATCTGATAACACAAGCAAAAAGAAAAAAAAAAAAAACAACCTGAAAGAAACTAGTTAAATTCTATTAATTTGAAGCCTGCAAATTCCGACAGTAGCGGCACAACATACTAAAATTCTAATGTAATCAACCCAGATTACAGAAGTGTTTAGTTTTAGTTTTAAACAGAGAAGTCTGTAGTTGCCTGACAGGGGCCACAAACACTAACAGCTAGATAACTTCCCAATTGCTACTAAGGCAGAATTTCCTACATTAGCTGTCACTTTAGATATTAAAAGAGATAACCAGAAGCCTAAACAGTCTTCCTGCACTCAATTTTATTCCTAAAACACTTCAACTACAGATAGCTTCTGATCTGATCAAACTTCAATTTGGAGAACAGCAATAATAAGCATCACAGTGATCATGTTAAGTACTAAACTATATTAGTATCAGTGAAATTCCCGGCTTACTGAGACAGCAATCAGAACAACTTCAACTATTACCTCTCTCTTTTCAAACACATGCTCATCAGACGAGTGAACTTCTCAGTTTAACATTCCAGCCAGAACACAGCACTTCCACAGCACATTGTATAATAGTGCTGATTCAGTACTGACTGAATAAAAACAAAACAAAAACCACCCCCACCAAAGACCTTCTACTAAAATCACCACTACCTTTTCCAGCTGCTACCATGCTCTCTCAGCTTCCAGCTGGCTTCCAACTTCCAGCCTCAATGATAGGTGCCTTATAATCTGACAGACTAGAATTAAGACTGTTACATACCGAGGAAGATTTTCTACAAGAGACAAAAGGCATCAGCTGCACAGATAACGTGCCACTTTGTAAGATCACAAAATTATTTGCCAAAACTCAAGAACTTTACCATTAAAAAATAAGATGCTTGCCACCTGCCTAGCTGTGAAACCAGCTATTACAAGACACTGACATATCTGAGTAACAATATTACTTTCAAGCTATTTAACACAGAGTTATAGGCCAAACAACTTGAGGATGCCTGTAGGAAATTTACTGGTAACATTGCTCCTGCTCACCCCAGTTTTCCCTCAGTCTTCTGCTCTGTTCTCTCAGTTTGTACCTTGATCAAAAAAGGTGCACATCTGGAAAACTCATTTCATACCTAAAAGATGACATTACAAGATAGGTATCCTATTTATGAAAGCGGTTGTGATCACAAAAGCCTAAGCCAATTTTACTTCAAGAAGTACTGCTTCGGTAACGTGCGGTGCACATAAGGACAAAACAGACAGAACTTACTCTACCATGCCAAAATCTATAGAATCGTAGAACAATTCAGGTTGGAAAAGACCCTTGGGATCATCATGTCCAACCATTAACCCTGCACAAGTTCACCCCTAAACCGTATCA